GGGGGGGGGGGGGGGGCATACCTGCACACAGGACGTGTTTGTGTCTGTCGATGAAGAAGGACGACCGCATCGACGCGTACGACATCATACACAAGAAGATCGCCGAGGTGAGTGAGTGTGCCGCGCTGCTCCTCCACTCATCCACAGACACGACCATCTGTCTGACCATCTTTGTGTATGGCGTGTGGTGTCTTGTGTTGTGATGTGCAGAAGTTGCAGCCCGAGTGTTTCCTCTTCCTCGACAAACCTGACAAGATAAAAATCACTGGTACCCATCCACACGCGCACACACGCACATAGAGAGAGGGTCAGGGAGAGGGAGAGATACCCACACACGCAGCCATGTAATTGCCCACCCATGTGTGTGTGTGTGCAGCTGAGCACAAAACCAAGCGCCGTGTGGAGAAGGTCCTCATGCGCACCGTCACGCAGCACGGCGAGAACTACCAGGTCATCCAACTATCCGTCGCAGAAGGTCCGGCCGTCCACACGAATGCACACATCGACGAACGACGGAAGCATCATGTGTTTGTCTCAATGATAACAGGGGGGTCGACGCACTCGCGGCGGTACCTGTTGGTGGAACAGGAGAAACAAGTGCCACAGGAAATCAGAGACGTATGCACCCCACCCCACCCCACCCCACCCCCCACACACGATCTACAGCAATCGACTGTGTACCCACACCCACGTCTCTGCATGCATGCAGGCGACCGAGACGCGCAAGTCGGCGGAGCGCCGCGCCGTGTGGGTGGCCTTCAACCTCGACGACAACGATAAACAAAACGGTCGGTTTGTCAACACATTTGCACACGTGTGTGTGCGTGTGGGGGTGCGTGGGTGCGCAGTTGCGGGCTTCCTGCCCATCGCCAGGCTGCCGTCCCTCTTCACCTACCTGCCCACGGGTATCCCAAACCCTCCCACCAACCCCCAGCAACCTTCCCACAGCACGTCGATACACACGTGTGTGTCGATGCAATGCAGCTCAGGAGAGGACGGGCCTGCCTGCGTTGGTCAACGCCGACTGGCGGCTGGCGAGCAACAGGGAGACGCTAGAGTCGGGATCAGGCGCATGGAACGCGTACGTGGGGACCTATGCTGGGAGAGAGGGAGGGAGGGACGGAGGTGTGTGGGTGGGTGGGCAGGTGGCTGCGTGACGAGCTGGTCATTCCCACATACGTCGAGGTACGTCTGTGAGTACCTACCTGCGTCTGATGCACACATACGGACGCTCGTGTGTCTGCTCACATAGGCGTTGGGTGTGGTGTCATCTTTGGCGGCGTTCGCCCACCTGCTGCCGAGGTTCATCCCGCAGCAGGAGGGCTCCCAGCCCAGCAAACACTTTGCAAAAGTGGCCGAAAACATCATCACACAAGTCACAGACGGGTGGGTATACCGTTCTACGTCTGCAGACATGCCCTCATACGCATGGGTACAGATCGGCTGGATGTCTGTGTGTGTACGTATGTGTGTGCCAACAGGTCTGACGGCCCTCTCAAGTTGCTGTGGTGCGGCGATTGGGACCAAGACCAGTCCTTGCGCGTATCTGGTATGTCGTGCCAGCCAGCCAGCCACCCACCCACACAGAGAGGGAGGAAGACAGAGAGGGAGAGAGGGAAACAGAACAGACCAACAGCACGTAACACAACTACGCATCCATGTCAGGCGACAAATCGTTCATTCCCGACGTCAAGAAGACCAAGAGGGCCACCGGCGAAGAGGACATCGTGACGGAGTTCAGACAGATGGAGAAGAAACTGCTACCCAGTAGCCAAATTCCACGCACCCACACACAGGCGAGTATGTGTCTGTGTGCTTGCATTCGTCAGACGATGGCGATTGCGTCTCTTTCGAGCGTGCGAACGGCATTGTGTGGGAGAAGTACGCTGACTCGTGCGACGACTGGTACACATGCATGTCTGCACCCATCCGGCCATCCATCCATCCATTCATGTGTGTGTGAGTGTGTGTGGGTGTGTGCAGGATTGACCGTCTGGGTGAGATCGGAGTTGAGGTGCCGGTCAGTGCTAAGAAGTTCGTCGAGTGGCTCCACACAGACACCGCCAAGGAGGTAGGGAGATAGTCACACACACACACACACACACACAGAAATGGATCTCTCTCTCTCTCCCTCGCTCTCTCTGCGTTGTAGGGTTTTC